TTTGCAAGAGGGGAAAAGCCTCAATCATTGCTTTTGCTAATTTTCATGATATAAATACTCCCAATCTGGATGATTTTAATCTATTAATTTAATACTAAACACACACACACACACACACACACACACACACACACACACACACACATATATATATATATATCATATGTGGGGCTGTGGAACTGACTCCAGGCAAGCCACTAGACATCCTTTTAAGTCAGTGGGGTCCCACTGTTTTTTTGCATCATGAATACCATTCTGTACTCTGACTCCACTCTCTCTCCATCCTTTGCTTCTGGATCTTACTTGTCTACTATAGTATACTTAACAGAAGTTTAAATTTTCACCCCCATTTTCTCTTCCTTGACATTTTCTTCTAATCACATGTTTTTCTTCATCACTGTGGCATGAATGATATTCAATTCTTGACTGCTCTCAAGTCATTTGTCCATTCTAAGTTCTTTTCAGATAGCCCTTGTCCATTATCTCACATTCCATAGAGCTAAAAAAAGCTTCTTTGTCTTGCCTCTATTAAAAGTTTGCATATTTTCCTTTGTATACTACTAAAAAGTATTACACGCAAACTATAATATGGGTACTTCTTGGGGTACCTTATTGAAGAGACAAGACTTGGAAATTATTATCCATTCTTTATAGCTTAAAAATCCAAAGCTCAAACTGAACTATCAAGCAATGGAACCTGGATGTGAACATAGGACCTTGGCAGTAAAACCTACTTTCCTTCTTTACAGCATATCACTCCCCATCCAATGGCGAGATCATGTTTTATGCCAGGAGAGGTGGCTCGTCAGTTAAGAGTACTGGCTGTTCTTGAAGAGTACTGGGCTTGGCTCCCAGCACCCACACAGTGACTCACAACCACTTATAACTCCAGTTCCAGGGAATCCAAAACCCTCTTCTGTCCTCTGAGGGTGCCAGTCACACACATGGTCCACATATATATGTACACATAGAACAAAATAAAACCTTAAAAAAAATGAGAAGGTCCTGTGTTTCTCACATTGATTGATGCAAGTCAGTTGAGAGGTATAATTTTTGTAATTGTTATTATCAAGTCTTATCTGTTTATCCATTGTACTAATGTTTGTTCAACTGTCTGTCTTGTTCCTATATCTAAGCACCATGCTTATTCCTCATTTTGTGCCTTGTTGTAACAAAAATTTTTGCAGGGATATGTATCCAGTGAATCTTGACTTAGCAAGTAAAATAATTAGTGGGCAAACATGTATTTACCATATTTATACTGTGTGTGATGGTATTTTTCTACCATCTGGGTTGAAAGCCACTAGTGATTTTGTATATAGCAAATCAGATTTTATACTGAAGAAATATGCAGGCTTAATTTGCTATATTGAAGAAAAACCTGGATGGAAAATCTCATTCATATTTTAGTTCAAATTAGGAAAGTAATCTATGCCCTTGTGTTTCCAGCCTAACACTCTCATACCCATTTCTGTCTGGATATGATTTAGACTTCAGGGACCATCAAATGAATTCAAGGCAATAACCTCCCTTACATTTCTGATTAATTTAGGTACTCCTGGGAGCTTTCTTCATACTTTCAGAAGACTTACAACAGTCAATCCATGTTTCTCTGAATTGCCAGTGCTGGTTGCACTATTCTGTGTTCTGTACAAACTGTCTATGTGAAGAGGTTATGTAGTACTCTGTACAAGTGCATGGAGAGATGTAGGCTCTAATTTATGCATCACTTGAGTATATTTCCAGTCTCTTAACAGCACAGAGAAGTCTATTCAGGTTTGAACACACCTTGGGGCTTTTCTGTATATGCTAATTTACCTTGCCCAGCAAGGCATGCCATGCAGAGCTTGTCTGCCTGGGAAAGTCAGTGAGGTGGATTAACTGCCCATGAGTATAAAAGCACTTGTATGTGCAGCACAATAAAGAACTCTGAAATCACTCATTTGAAATCCCCAACAGATACCTACCTTCTATGGTATTTTATGCTAATCTTCTACTCTATCATCTTTTACTCACTGCTGTCAGTTACTGCCTCATGTAAATATTTCCAAATACATTTCTTTTCCCAACTCAGTCACAAAGTGACTTAGAACAGGCTGTTAAATATACATAACAATTATGTAAACAATACATGACAAATAGAAAAGTATTATCCCAACTAGTTGAATATTAGTGATTGAATGGGTTCAATATAGAATATAAGTTCAGAGCATGAAACACCCACAGAGACTAATCTACATTTTCAGTGCATCTCTGCATCTAAGCACTGACAGTTGAGATAGAGCCCTAACAAGATTCTATTAATGTGGCTCAACTTGTCTTCCTTGCTGAATGGCTGCTTAATACCAGTAGTGTGGGTAGTCTGTGTTCAATGGAAATCTTCAGAAAATAGGACACCCCCCTGGCCTTATTTCAGTAGTAGAAGATACAATTTCCCATAAACAGGATCCGTGACGGTAAAGCTTATATCCAAAACTCTAAGGCAGAGGTTCTCAACCTTCCTAATTCTGTGACCCTTTAATGCAGTTCCTCATGTTGTGGTGATGCCCAGTCATTAAATTATTTTTGTTGCTGCTTCATAAGTATAATTTTGCTACTGTTGAATTGTAATGTAAATATCTGTACTTTCCAATGGTTTTTAGGGTTAAGAACTGATGCACTAAGGTGTCATAAACCTTACCATGATATAACTTTGACAATTACACTTCATTCTCTATTTTACAAAATTAGCCTTTACAAGAGAAGTGAGGGGATAGGTGTTCATGTCTCCTCAGAAATGCCAGATTGCTCAAATGTTACTTGAGCAAATAACATCACATTACCCTTTGAGCTTTTTCATGTGGACTGAAGCAAAGCATAATGGTATCACTTTAGAGATTTAATTCTTCCCACTTCAATTATAGACTATATGGATGATAGTGGATGCAAGTGGAAAAATTATATCCAATTACATGGAATGTTGATGTTAATGGAGGCACCATTTTTAGAAAGCAATTCTGTGCAATAGTAAGCTCAAAGTCTGTGATTTTAACATTTTATGAGTGATAGAATTACAAATAAGTTAATTTGGTAAGCCCAAATAGTGAGTACTAAAGTTTACATTCTAAATATTCAAAGCGTGTGTGTATACCTTGTTATTTTCTAGATTAAATTCATGTTAACCTGTGTATATATCTGTGTTCTTCCATTTGTCTTATTTGGTTTGCCTTTGTCTTCATTCCCTCTGAGCCTGTTGCCTTGGTAACAATCACATACTCGCTTGTATGTGAAGCTCTCCTTTGACGTACATTTATTTCTATGGAAACAGTGATGTCATTGGTGTGGGCAGGTGCTCAGGGAAAGCAAAGTAAAAAAAAAACATAGAATACTGATTTTCTTTGGGTCATAAAATGTACCATGAAAGTAAGTTTTTGAGTTAAAGAACTATTATTTTTGTTTTTATTTTGATTTGATCATCAAGCTACAGTTTTCCTTATGGATAGATTTGCTGGAATAGAATGAATTAAAAGTGCAAAACATATTGGATAGCACATTATTATAATATGTAGCATCATAGAACTCAACACAAATACATATATGTAAAAAACTTCAATCTTAAAAGTCAGAGAATTAAAAGTTTATCTCAACACTGTTTATTATTATAAAAAATATGGTGCTGACAAAATGTCTCGGTTGATAAAGGGGTTTGCCATGAAGTTTGACAACTGAGGTTTCACCCCTGGGGCTCACATGGTAGGAAAAAACTCACTCCATCAAGTTATCCTCTTACTTCCACATACATCTATGGCATACATTCACCCTCACCACACATACACAATAAATAAATACACAAATAATAAAATGTAAAATGTAAATTATGCAAAGAATTTTATATTAACATCAAGGCAATGTACACTAAACAGTGGATCAGGAAAAAAGTCCATACTTTATAACCATTATATCTTTGAAAAAAAAAGTCTAATTTTAGAAACACAGGGATAAATGAAGACCACATGAGAATAGAAAGAAGCAAAGTGCTAGAGAGGTCCACAGAAATCCACAAAGATATCTCTACAATAGACTACTGGAAATGCTGGAGAGAAAGCCCGAAATGACCTACTCTGGTGATAGGATGGCCAAACACCCTAATTGTCGTGCTAGAAACCTCATCCAATGACTGAGGGAACCCAATGTAGAGTTCCATGGCCAGGCCCCAGGTGGAGCTCCAGGAGTCCAACTGGAGAGAAAGAGGAGGGTTTGTATGAGCAAGAATTGTTGAGATCAAGATTGGAAAAAGCACAGGACAATAGTCAAACAAATGGAAACACGTGAATTATGAACCAATAGCTGAGGAGTCCCCAACTGGATCAGGCCCTCTGGATAAGTGAGACAGTTGATTAGCTTGAACTGTTTTAGAGGCCCCCAGGCAGTGGGACCTGGACCTGTCCACAGTGCATGAGCTGGCTGTTTGGAGCCTGGGGCTTATACAGGGACACTTGGCTCAACCTGGGAGGAGGGGACTGGACTTGCCTAGACTGAATCTACCAGGTTGAACTCAATCCCCAGGGGAATCTTTGCCCTGGAGGAGATGGGAATGAGGGGTGGGTTGGGGGAAGGCGCGCACGGAGGGGGGGGGGGAGAACAAGGGAATCCGTGGCTGATATGTAAAATTAAATGTAAAAAAAAAAAAAAAAAAAAAAAAAAGAAGTAAGTCAGTAAGCAGCAGTCATCCATGGCCCCTGCGTCAGCTCCTGGTTCCAGGTTCCAGCTCTGTTTGAATTCCTGTCCTGACTTCCTTTGATGATGAACAGTGCTATGTAAGACAAATAAACTCTCTCCTTATTGACTTAAAAAAAAAAAGAAGAGAAATGATAGTGATTATTTTTCTAAATCAAAAAGTTCACATAATAGGCATTCCATTTTATTTTAAGTCTTTAACATTTAAAAAAATTCTCTTTTTCTGTCTCTCTCTGTCTGTTACTTGTCTGTTATTCACTTCATTCTATTTTTTTCTTTTATAGACAATATGGAAACCTGCCTATGATTTTCTGTATGCATGGAGTGCTCACTATGGAAATAGCTATAGAGATGTGTTACAAGACCTTCAATCAGCTTTGGACAGAATGAAAAACCCTGTCACCAAACGGTGGAGAGACTTAACTGGAACTTTAATATTAGTAAATTCTTTAGAGGTTTTAAGAGTAACTGCTTTCACTACTTCTCAAGAAATATAGAATGAAGCAAGTTTGCGAAGCAAGGAAAACGGTAAGGGAGAAAGTGTGTGTGTGTGTGTGTGTGTGTGTGTGTGTGTGTGTGTGTGTGTGTGTGTGTGTGACCTCTCACAGAGAGAGAGAGAGGGAGGGAGGGAGGGAGGGAGGGAGGGAGGGAGGGAGGGGAGATGAACTCATAAAAATGTCTTGCTTTTATTGTGTTTGGAAAACCATGTTTTACCTTGAGAAACAAAGCCTATAACTCTTAGCAAGACTGGATTTTGTAATCAAACCTTTTTTTTGTATGTGGTGTAAAGGTAAACACTAAAATACTCCGTTATTGAGAAGGAAAGAAAAGCCCTTCCCTCTTCTTCAATGTTTATTCAGTTTTCTAAGTTAAAACATGAGTGTTCAAATAATAACATCAAGAAGATACCTCAATAAACTGGAGGCTTTAACATGGGCAGCTATCATGAGGCAGAGAAATAGGAGTGAAGACACTTGACTTTCAAAGGCTGCATGACTCTGTACTGCGATCTGTATTCTTCAATGGAGTCTGTCAGCATTGCTCCCATGTTCTATGTGCAGAAATCAAGTGTGGAAGAGCATCCACAGTCAGTGTAAAGTAGGTTTTCTGCCTTGAAAGACTGATTCAAATTTTTGAGAAAATCATGCCACATATCAGAATAGCAAGAACGACAAAAAAATAAGAATACATACTGAGAAATGAAGCTTGCTCCTCTTTTTCAACATCTCTTGAATAATTACTGGAAAATATGACACCTTCAGAAAAACTGTTTTCAGACATGGACTAGGAGTTTTCATCAGCTTCCTTCAGCACCTTGGAACTATATGTTATCCTACTTAATTTGAAGTTTTCTCCCATGATCAGAATGAAAAATAATTCTTTAGCCGTCAGGGGTATTTAATACTGAGTTACCACAAACAATTACTATCACCAAAACACTTTCAGTACTAAAATACTGACATTTGTGTGTGTGCTCACATGAAGACATGCACTGTGTGTGTGTGTGTGTGTGTGTGTGTGTGTGTGTGTGTGTGTGTGTGTGAACATATCCCAGAATGTATTACAAAGCTTGTGGAAGACCTTGAGTCAATATAACTGTTAATGATTGGCAAAATTGACAAAAATTGTCTCTGTCCAGCAATCCCATGGCTGCTAATGTTTATGTGGTTGAACCTCCCTTTATTTAGTGGATTTCTCTTAAGGGAGAGTGAATCTAATATAGGTACAAAGCTGCTTGAGATGTAAGATAATAATGAGGAAGATGATAATGAGCATGATTCCTGGCTTCAGTGCTATTAATGACAGGGATGGGCAATAAAACAATACACCATTACTGTAAAATGGCATCTATAATGACATCTGCAGTGGAGAAACTGATACTGGAATAGAGGCTGTCATATCAATGGGGAAGAGAGTATATTGAAAAACAAATGATAAGCCAAGCATTGCACCTAATTTTGGCATGGTAGGGGGATGGGAGCTAGGAATCAATGGATCCTTCAGACAGTGGATAGTTCCAGGTTGAAGGGGACAGAGGGGCAGGGTGATGAATAAAAGGATAATGTAAGGAGGTAAAGGTGAAGGGACAGGAGTGAGGGTAGAGGGGAGGAGGCTACATTCAGGTCACTAAACCCTTTAGGACTTAGGAAGGAATGATACATCTCAAGGGTAATTTGGAGAAACTGAATAAAGTTTTGTTTGTGGATTTCTGAATAAAACATGTCCATTTGGCTAGAAACTAAAAGCACAATCATTTTAGAGCTTTTAATACTCCCACCCTATGGTATTTGATATGCTGGCAAAGGTAATTTGAACTAGTGTTTAGAACAATCTTAAAGGCTTTCATTATTTATTTGATGATAAGATAACAGTCTGTCCAAGGGCTTGCTTATAGATGCATGTTCAAGGACAGAATTTATTTTAGTTGAAAATAAATTCAAAGAGAAGAAAGAAAAAACTCAGCCAATTTGTTAGTCTAGGGCACAATGACTTGAAGTAATGACTTTGCTTCCTTTAAAACACTGTTGTTATCTTATTAATGTGTCAGCAAACTTGAAAATTTTGCATTGGGGTAGTGAGGATTTAATTACTGTTTTTTTACAGGCAACGAAGACCAAGAAGACAGAAAGCTTGTTAGCTGATCCATGTAGTAAGATTAAAAACAACAACATGAGTGACAGTTGTATAGCTTGGTCTTCTTGTGTGACTCCTGACCATGGGAGCAGGGACTGTCTCTGACTCTTTTTGTTGGCTTTTGGGACCCTACTCCTCATACTGGGTTGCCTGTCCATCCTTAATACAAGGGGAGGTGCTTAGTCTCACTGCAACTTTATATGCCATGTTTTGTTGCTATCCACGGAAGGCCTGCCCATTTCTAAATAGAAACAGAGGAGGAGCGGGTTGGTTGGGGCACAGAGGGTGTGTGTGTGGAGGGGAACTGGGGGGACAGAAAGGAGGGGGAATTGCAGTTGGGCTGTAAAATAAATAAATTAATTAATAAATATTAAAAAGCAAAACAAAACACTTTAGGTTTGTACCTTGTCATGCTTTGAAATTGTAATTGGGAATTTTAAGAAGTTAAAAAATAAAAACCATCTTGGTAATTTAAGGATGGAACAGTGGTTTAAATATTAACATACACATAAAACTGGTGACCTCTTACATTCTTCCAAGGGCATTTTAAACTCATGTCCAATCTGTTCTTTAAAATTTGTTCCTATATATTTTTATAAATTGTTCCTACTTTCCTGAATTTTATAATATCCTTGCTGTGATGAATTTTCTTCATCAGAATAGATTAATTCAGTAATCACAAATTGCCTTTTCTACTTGGCAAAAAGTCAATGGAATTAATAAGGCTCTTACAGTCTCTCTTTGACATCATTAAAGTATCAAAAGCTATTAATCTAAAACTTCTCCAAGCATTGAAAAAATGGAAAGAGATTAGATGGTCCTTTTGGTTTCTTAGGCTTTTCATTTAATGATGCACAAATTAGCATGAGATTCCAGTTCAGTCTGGAGTTCAGAATGTGACCATTGTTCTTTGTAATTCCTGGATTCCTGGCTTCTTTCTTCAAAGGGCTTCACATGAGTCCACCAGGGGATTCCTTCAACAATGTACCACTAACTGTTTATACCAATCACAGAAACAGCACATGTTTATGTCATGTAGCTAATACTGTGTAAATTGTGTGTAAACTGTGTAGATAGCTAAGTATGTAGAATAATGAATCAATGGATGCCACTGAACGGAGAAAAGGTACTGATAGTAAACAGCTTTGAATGTATGTGACATGAGTTTCTGTGGTAGTTTGAATAACTATGGCCCCCACAGACTCATGTGTTTGAATGTTTGCCCCATAGGAAGTGACACTATTAGGAGGTGTGGCCTTATAGGAGTAGGTGTGGCCTTGTTATAGAAGGGGGGCAGGCTTTGGGGTCTTATATGCTCAAGCTAAGCCCAGTATGACACACAGTCTCCTTCTGCTACCTGCAGATCACAATTTAGAACTCTCAGCTCCTTTTCCACCACCATGTCAGCCTGCACGCTGCCGTGCTTCTTGCCATAATGATAATGGACTGAACCTCTGAAACTGTAAGCCACCTCAATTAAATATTTTCCTTTATAAGAGTTGCTGTAGTCATGGTGCCTCTTCACAGCAATAGAAACCTAAGTTTCCAAACTTTAATTTTTAGACCATACTGCTGTACATAAAATATTTTGTGACTTTTTGATGCCTAAGGAATATTTGAGGGCATATAAGACAATAGTAAAAATTTAAGTCAGTTTAGGTTTTTGAAATTAAAATAGACTTTCTACTGTTTATACAAACACAAAATAGCCTGTAACATTTACAGTCTCTGGGACCTCACTGGCCAACAATTCAACACCAAAAAGGTAATTCATTCCATGGACTAAGTTTTTTATTTGTGCATTGTCACCCTCTTGTGGGTAATTTCATTTTAACTCTGTGTGTGTGTGTCTGTCTGTCTGTCGTGTGTGTGTGTGTGTGTGTGTGTTTTAAGAAATTTTTACAGCAATAGGTTTCCATCTGACTTTTTTCAAAAGGTCTTTAATGTCAGTTTTTCTTCTCCATATTCCTTCTACTATTCTGTCCTCCCAACCCTCATCTCATTTAACTCTTATTCCATTATTCCCCTTAGACCATTATACCATTGTGTTCTGTCTCCTTTCCCCTGAAAGACCCCTTATCACAGCCCCTATCATAGTTTTTATTTTATTGTTGTATAAAGACACCATGGATAAGGCAGCTTATAAAAGAAAATATTTAATGGGGGTCTTGTTACAATTTCAAGTGGTTAATCCATGACCCTCATGGTAGGGAGCATGGTGGCAGACAGGCAGGCATGGTTCTAGAGAAAAAGTAGCTATGAAGTTACATTCTGATCAACAGAAAAGAGGCATTTAGAGAGTGAGAGTAGGCCTGATATGTGGGCTCTTGAAACCCCAAAGCTCACCCTCCCAGTGATGCACCTCTTTCAACAAGCCATGCCTCCTAATACTTCCTAAGTAGTACATCAACTGGGAACCAAACATCCAAATGTATGAGCCTTTTCTTGTTAGAACCATTACATTCTACACCCAGGCCCCCATAGATCTGTAGCCATATCATGATGCAAACTGCATATAGACTAACTTTAAAAGTCTCTATTATCTTTCACGGTCTCAACACAATTTGAAAGTCCAAAATCTCTTCTGAGATTCAAGGCCATCTTATAATCACCTATAAAATCAAAATCAAATTACATATGTCCAACATACAATGACACAGAATATACATTATCATTCCAAAAGGAAAGAAATGTGGCATTGTAAGGAAGTCTTGGACCAAAACTAGACTGAAAACCAGTAGGGCAAACTCCAAACCTTGCAATTTCATGTCTGATGATAATGGGCTTATTAGATGCCTCTTCCCTTCCAGCTTTGCCAACAGCAGCACACTTCTTTCTTGGGTGGTTCAGCTTCCTGTATGCAACTCTCCTTGGCAGGTATCTCACAGCTCTGGCATTTCCAAACCCTTGGTGTCTCCAACTCAATCCAGGCTTTACTTTCACAGCTTCACTCAATGGCTTTTCTGGGCCTCCATGAAGGGACTCCTCTGCCACACATCTGGTCTCAGCAGTTTTCCTTAATCCCGGAGGAAGATTCCACAGAACCTTTACACCTGTAATTTTCTTGATAAAGCCAGAGCCACTGGCTAAGGCTGCCAAATTATACTGCCCCCTGGGATTGAAACCTGGCCCTCTCCATGACTCATGTTTGTATGAACTTTGACTTATTCACAGTTTCCTTTGTTGACTAAGCTTTGCTTTTCACAGCTTGGAAGTTTAGCTGGGTAGGGTCTTGCCCTGAGGGTACCACTCCCTTTTTTCCATCTAGCATCAGGGTTTTCTTTTAAGCTTCTCTTCTCCTTGAGCACAGGACATGGCTCCAATGTTACATTTACTGGTACTCTTTTCCTCCTCAAATTGTACATTTTGCATTTCTTTTAACCCTACTTGCTCTTTTTCATTGTAGATCTGTACAAAGTAATTGCATAAAAGTAATTACATAAAAGTAATCACTAACAACTGCATGATGCAGTCAATACTAGGTTACCTTGAAATTTTCTCTGCCAATGATACTAGTCTAAAAGTCTTCAGTTTAGCCTCTGGCATATTTTTTTTTTTTTTTGGACAAGGGCAGATTCTTTGCCAAAATATCACAAGACTGATCTCTAATATTTTTATCCTTGAAAACCACTTGATCTGGGCCTCCGTAGTTACATTACTCTCAGCACCACGTCTTCCATGTTCCTACTAGGATGGATTATTAAGCCTTACTTACAGCATTCAACCACTTTTCTAGTCAAAAGTCTTGAAGTGATATTTCTACAAACAACAGAATGGCTAGACCTGTCACAACAATATCCCAGTCCCTTATACCAATTTCTGTCTTAGTTTTTGTTCTATTGTGAAGAGACACCATGACCAAGGCAACTTACTATAAATGAAAGCATTTAATTGGGGGACTTGTTAAAGTTTCAGAGTTAGTCCATGATTCTCATGGTGGGGAGTGTGAGGGCTAGCAGGCAATCAAGGCACTGAAGCAGTAGCTAGTTAAGAGCTCATATCCTAATCTACAGGAAGCAGGCACAGAGACAGAGAGCAAGAATGGACCTGTCTTAGGCTTTTGAAACCTCAAAGCCTGAATCCGCCAGTGACATACCTCCTCCAATGAGGCCACACCTCCTAATCCTTCATGAACAGTTCCATCAAGTGGAACACAAGCATTCAAATATATGAGTTTATGAAAGCCATTTTCATCCAAATTACCATAGCTCCATACTAGTTTCCTGACCTCTATGGGTATTCCAAGTGAAACACACAAATATGAAGATTCAAAGCTAACATCCTTAAATGAAAGAAAATATGACATTGATGTTTCTGGATTTGTGCTACCTCACTCAGAATGATTGTTTACAGATCCATCCATATACCTGTAAATTTTTATTAACAGCTGAGCAATGTTCCATTGTGTAAATTTACCACATTTCCATTATCTATTCATCCATTGATGGACATCTATATTGTTTTCATTTCCTGGCTATTCTGAATAGATCAGCAATGAATATGAAAATGTAGATATCTCTGTAGTATGAAACAGAGCCTTTTGAGTATATGTCTAGCTGCTGGTATATATATATATATATATATATATATATATATATATATATAGAGAGAGAGAGAGAGAGAGAGAGAGAGAGAGTCTTTGTTGTTATGACTGGGGTAAGATGAGCTCTCAAATTAATTTTACTTGAACTTACTGGAAAGGGAAAGGACTTTCTGAACAGTATCCTGATAGTGTAGGCATTGCAGCTTTACATTTCCCTGATGGTAAAGGTTGTTAAATATTTTTGAAAATGATTGCAGCCATTTATATTTTATCTTTTGAGAACTCTGTTTATTTTCATGCCCCATATTTTATAATTATTTTTATGTTTAGTTTTTTAAAGTTCTTTGTATATTCTAAATACTAATCCTCTTTATTTGTCAGACCTATAGCAAATGAAGATTACTTTTCCCCATTCTTTAGGCTGCCTCTTTATGCAAATGAAGGCGTCCTTTGCTGTACAGAAGATTTTTAGTTTCATTAAGTCCCATTTACTAGTTGTTGGTCTTAATGCATGCACTACTGGGTTCTGTTCAGGATTTAGTGTTTGGATTTCTCAAGGATGAATTTGATACCACTTAAGACTGCTTTTCCGAACTGTGAAGAAACACCATGTCTTGGTGGTTTGAATATAAATGGACCCCAAAGCCTCATAGATTAGAATGCTTAGTCACCAGGGGAGTGGCACTATTTGAAAGGATTAGAAGAACTAGGTGGTATGGCCTTGTTGAAGGAAGTATGTCACTAGGGACACACCAAGCCC